TTCTCACATGGAGCCCTCACTCTGAGGGAATCCAGTATGTTGCTAACTGCCGCACTGAGAGGCCCACATGGCAAGGAACTGATGTCTCCAGCCAACAGTCAACAAGGACCTGAGGCCTGACAACAGCTTTTTAAGTGAGCTTGGAAGATTTCCCCCATCGAGGCTTGAGATGATTGCAGTACTGACTGATAACTTGATGGCAGCCCCATGAGAGACCCTGAGACAGAGGCACCCAGCTAAGTTATGTCCACCCAGATTATTGACACCCCAAAAACTGTAAGACAATAAATGCTTGTTGTTTTAAGCTACGAAGTTTTGGGGGTAATTCATTATGCTGCAATAAATAACAAATACAGATATTGGTAACTGGAAGTGAGGCGCTTCCAAAAAATAACCAAAAATATGAAAGTGGCTTTAGAACCAGGCACTGGGTGGAGTCTGGAAGAATTTTGAGGAGAATGTTAAAAAAAAACCTAACTTTCCTCATATAGACTGTTACTACAAATCTGGATTTTGAGGATGCTGCTGGTGAGGGCTCAGAAAGAAGTGTGGAACATGTCATTAGAAACTAGGTGAAAGAGGATCCTTGTTATATAGTGACAGAAAGTTTAGCAACACTATCACCTTTAGTAACTTGAAAAGTATGAAATGTGTCTAATGAACTGTGTGATCTAGCTAAGGAGATTTCCAAGTAAATTGTTGAAGATGCCACCTGGTTTCCTCTTGTTGGTTATAGTAAAATGTGAGAAGAGAAAGATGACCTGTAAAGACTGTTAAACGTGAATGAACAAGGACTTGAGGGTTTTGAAAAATCTCTGCCTCTCTGGACAGCAAAAGATGCTAAAATTGAGAAATGGCTTCTGAACAGAAATCACAACTGAATGATATCTCACCAACAATGAAAGCCAGAATACAGTGGAATATCTTCGATGTACTGAAATAAAATAACTGTTGACCTAAAAGTGTATACTCAGCAACTGTATCTTCCAACGGTGAAGGCAAAATGAAGACGTTTTCTGAAAAACAAAATATGGAAGTGTTTGCCACCAACAGATTTTCACAAAATGAAATTTTAAAGAATATATTTCAGTCATAAAGAAGGCGATCTCATATAGAATGTCTTAGGTGCAAGAATTAGCGAACAAAGAAAGAGTTATGTAGACAAAGCTAAATAAATATTGGCTGAATAAAGCAGCAACAACGTCTTGTGGCAATAAAAATAATCTCTAAAATACACAACAGCAAATAAGTCAGGAGGAGATGATCAGAACTAAAGTGTTAAAGTCCTGTGGTTCAGAAGAGAAAGTAAAGGTATTGAACTGCTTTAGACTTTTCCCCACCATTTTAACTATTTTAAAGTGTGAAATTCAGTGGCTTTTAGTATGTTCAAAACATTGTGCAACCATCACCCCTATCTAGTTCCAGAACATTTTCATCACCCCCTAAAGAAATCTCGTACTTATTAAACATTAACTTCCCATTTTCCCCTCCTCCCAGCCCCTGGCAACCACTAATCTATTTTCTGTCTCTATGGACTTCCCTATTCTGGACATTTCATATAAATAGAATCATGAACGATGTGGCCTTTTTGTCTGGCTTCTTTCATTTATCATAATGTTTTCAAGGTTCATCCATGTTGTTGTGTGTCAGTACTTCATTCCTTTTTATGGCTGAATGATATTCCATTGTGGATATACCGCATTTTGTTTATCCATTCATTTGTTGGTGGACATTTGGGTTGTCTCCGCCTTTTGGCTGTTGTAAATAGTGCTGCTATAAACATTTGTGTACAAGTTTTTGTTTGAATACCTGTTTTCAGTTCTTTTGAGTTTCTGGGTCTTATGGTAATTTTTTTTTTTTTAAAGATTTTATTTTTTTCCTTTTTCTCCCCAAAGCCCCCCAGTACATAGTTGTATATTCTTCGTTGTGGGTCCTTCTAGTTGTGGCATGTGGGACGCTGCCTCAGCGTGGTCTGATGAGCAGTGCCATGTCTGCGCCCAGGATTCGAACCGATGAAACACTGGGCTGCCTGCAGCAGAGCGCGCGAACTTAACCACTCGGCCACGGGGCCAGCCCCATTATGGTAATTTTATGATTAACTTATTGAGGAGCCACCAAATTTTTCCACAGCAGCCACACCATTTTAGATTCCCACCAGCAATGTATGAGGTTCCACTTTCTCTACATTTCCATCTCTAACATGGAGATTGTTATTTTCCATTTTTTTAACGGTCATCCTAGTGAGTGTGAAGTGGTATCTCACTGTGGTTTTGATTTGCATTTCCCTAATGGCTGATAACATTGATCATCTTTTCATGTGTTTATTGGCCATTTGTATATCTTCTTTGGAGAAATGTCTATTCAAGTCTTTTGCCCATTTTTTTAATTGGGTTGTCTTTTTGTTGTTGAGTTGTAAAGATTCTTTGTATATTCTTGATACTAGACTATTAGAAATATGATTTGGAAATATTTTCTCCCATTCTATGGGTTGTCTTTTCATCTCCTCATAGTGTCCTTTGATGTAAAAAATTTTAATTTTGATGAAGCCCAATTTATCTATTTTTTCTTTTGTTGCTTGTGCTTTTGGTGTTATATTTAAGAAACTATTGCCAAATCCAATGCCGTGAAAATTTACCCTGATATTTTCTGCTAAGAGTTTTATAGTTTTTGCTCTTATATTTATGTGTTTGATCCATTTCAAATTAATTTTTGTATATGATATGAGATAAAGTTCCAAATTCACTCTTTTGCATGATTTATTGAAGAGATGGTTCTTTCCTCATTAAATGGTCTTGGCACCCCCTACTCTTGTTGGAAATCAATTGACCATAAATTTTTGGGTTTAGTTCTGGATTCTCAGTCCTATTCTATTGATCTATATGTCCATCCTCATGCCAGTACCACAGTGTTTTAATGACTGTAGCCTTGTATTTAAGTTTCAAAATTGGGAAGTGTGAGTCCTCCAACTTTGTTTCTTTTTTGTAGATTGCCTTGGCTATTTAGGATCTCTTGCAATTCCAGGTGAATTTTAAGATGAGGTTGTCCATTTCTTCAAAAAAAAAAAAAAAGGCCATTGGGATTTTGATAGGGATTGCATTGGATTTGTAGATTGCTTTGGGGAGTATTGCCATCTTAACGATATTAAGTCTTCTAATTCAACATAAGAATTTTAAACAAGAAATAAAATCATTATTATTCCCAGACTGAAATAGTTGTGCACATTGAAAACCCAAAATAATCTACAGATAAGTTGTTCAAATTAATAAATCAACGTAGCAAGGCTTCTTGACAGAAGTTCAATATGAAAATTATGTCTATGTACTAGCAACAAAGTTAGAAAATAAAAATTTTAAAAGGTAACATTTACAATAGCGTCAAAAATACCTAGTACCTAGAAATGAATTGTATGAAAGATTTCCAAGAACTCTAATTAGAAAACTATAAAATATTCTTGGGAGACCTAGATAATTAGAAGGATATACTATATTCAAGGATTAGAAGATTCAATATTATAAAGATGTCAATTCTCCTCAAACTGACCTACAGATTCAACACAATCTCAGTGTAAATTCCAAGATTTTTTCCTGGTGTAATTCAAGCATGTGGAAATGTAAAAGGCCAAGAATAGCCAAAATATTCCTGATACAAGACAGTAAGATTTAAGGCTACAGCAATTAAGACAATGTGGTATTCGCACAAGGATAGACCAATAGACCAGTGGAACATATTAGAGTCCAGAAGCAGACCCATACATATATGCACACCTGATTTATGACAAAATAGCTCTCCAGAGCAGTGGTACTGGGTCAATAAGAAATCCATATGAAAAAGTGAAATTTGACCCCTTCCTCAAACTATACAAAAAAAAAAAAATCAATTCCAGATTAAATAAAGCTCTATGAACAGCAAACAATAAAAACTCCAGGAGATAACAGCTTTGGGTTATGCACAGGTTTCTTAAACAGGACCCCAAAACCACTAACCATGAAGGAAAAGATTGATAAATTTGACTACATTTAGATTCAGATCTTCTGTTCATCCATAGAGTGGGAGAAAATATTTGTGTTATGTAAAATTGATAAAGGGATGTGTAGCAAATGGAATTCTCTTATGCTGTTCGTGGTATATTTATTTTGGAAAACAATCTGGCATTATCTACTGAAGTTGAACATACAGATAGCCTCTGGCAATTCTGTTGGGTGATGACCTAGGAGTAGAATTTCCATGTGAACCAAGAGATAGGGTAGCACTGTCCAGAATAGCTTCAAACTGGAAGCAACTCTTACTGTAGATATTTCCTAGTGGCTCATCTGAATTGTGGTAAAGTATTTCATTATATAGTATAGACCACAATTTATTTAATCCATTGCTTTTCTGATAGAACCCTGACTGATATATCATTTATGCCAATTTTTCTACGGAAGTGATCATCTTTCTTATACAAATTAATTTGTAAGAGTTCTTTGCATGTTAAGAATCTTATCTGTCATATATGTTATAAAATGTATTAATTTTTCATTAATCTTTTATCTTTCTTTACAATATTTTGTTGTATGAAAGCTTTATATTTTTATGCAACAAATTTATCAGTATTTTTATTTGTGGCTTTTGGGTTTCATGACATGCTTAGAGTAGCTTTTTCAACACTAAGATTATAAAAATATCCACCCATATTTTAATCCAATATGTGTATATATATATATATTTTTAAAGATTGGCACCTGAGCTAACAACTGTTGCCAATCTTTTTTTTCCCTGCTTTTTCTCCCCCAAATCCCCCCAGTATATAGTTGTATATTTTTTAGTTGTGAGTCCTTCTAGTTGTGGCATGTGGGACGCCACCTCACCGTGGCCTGATGAGCGGTGCCATGTCCGCGCCCACGATCTGAACCAGCAAAACCCTGGGCCGCCGAAGTGGAGCACGGAAACTTAACCACTTGGCCATGGGGCCGGCCCCTGTATATGGTTTTATTTTTGTTTAGTCCTTGATCCATCTAGAATTTATTTTTGTGTGTAGGGCTCTCACTTCAGTGCATCCAAATAAAGAGTCAATCGTCATATTAAACCATATCTTTTTTCCCCACTGATATGAAATGCCACCTTTATCATCTGTTATAGTCGCATATATACACTATTATAAGGTGTAATAGATACTGAATGGCAAATAAGATATCTTAGAATTCTTCAAGCTTAAGAGGATACAGCTACTGAGAGGATAGGTTTCAGTATCAACACAGATATTTATGCATGGACAGAAAAAGATGTCTGTATGCTTAGCTGTCAAATAGAGAGAGACTGGGGGAGGGTCAAATGCACTACATGATATCACAAGGAGTGATAGAATTCTATTTGGAACTTCAGAGGCCTGAGAGGAAGACTCTGGCCAGTTTCTTCTGAAGACTACTGCACTCTGAGGCCTCATTCACTGGCTTCTTTGGATCCCTGGCTGCTAAGCCAATTTTCAGGTAAGTGGCTTCCAACCTGACACAGGTCTCTTTAAGACCTATCAAATAGTGAATGAGAGTATCAGTTATAAATGTCTTAAGTAATAGAAAGCCCAAATTATAATGGCTCAAATAGGGATTTATTTTCCTCACACCAAGCAGTCCAGAGGTGGGCAGATAGAGGTGTTGGTTTAGTGGCTTGAAATTGTCAGAGCCAGAAGAGATGTAATTTTCTTGGCCTTCTCCTCATGTACATTACCTCATGGTTACAAGATGGCTTCTCCGACTTCAGGTAACTGTTAAACAATGTTTGAGGCAGCACAAAGGAAAAATGGTAGCTATATCTTTTTTATCAAAACAGCAAAAAGTCTTCCCAGAATCTACTCATCGGATTTCCGTTATGCTTCAACAAAGCAGGATCTCTGGCTCCTCAGTGGAGAAGAGACTGAACAACTGTTGTTTCCACTAATTGAATTAGGGAAGCCTGAAGGGGCATCTAGTTTAGGAGGGAATGTCAGGTGTCTGACCTGATAGATTCCAGTAAATTTTTGTTTTGTGTTGTTTTGTTTTTTTTTAGAGGGGAATAAATTTTGCTTTGGAAACTGACTGTATTCAGAATTCAAGTGTCAGCTAGTGAATTATTCTTGTGTTCATGACAGGTGGGAAGCTTTTTGCAATAAAAACTAAACCACCATTTTCTAACTTTTCAGACAAAGCTACCTTGGAAAGAGCCAAGGAAAAAGCCATCTCCCCTTGGCCGAGTGAGCTAGGAGAACAGCTAAGTGGCCCTCAGGAGACTCCATGGACTCTCCCCAGAATCTGCTGAGCATTGGATTTCTGCTGTGCTCTCTGGCTTGCCTCCTGGAGACTGTAGGTTCCTCAACATCGCCTTTATCTGCCTTTGGAGTAGAAGGCAAAGCAGGATCAAAACTACGCTCAATGGGTGTGTTTGCTGTTAGGATGAATGTTCGTAGCTTTGTAAGACATAAGATTCGTGTCTCAGTTCAGAAAAATTGATTTTATATTTAAAAATAATGTTCACAAGAAAGCAAACTATTCTGGTTTGGTTCAATTTAGTTCAACAAGAGCTAACTCACTTACTGTGTGCACCAAACCCTTTGCTGAATGACATGGATTAGGAGTTCAGAAATGTGCAGCCAAAGCCACAGATGCCAACCCTCCATGGAATATGACACATGCTCCCTGAGGAAAAAAGGATAAAGTTGTCACAAATAAAGTAAAATAAAATGAATGAAAAAATAAAGGGATAAATAAAGTTGGGGGAGGGATCAGGGAAGCCGACAAAGGAAATGAACTTTAAGCTAAACCTGATGACCCATTGATCTGTGGCTTAGGTGCTCCCAAAGCCCAGCTTCCAACATGCATAGCCATGCTGCTCAGATCCTTTCCGGAGCTCCAGCTACGGAAAGTGTCTGCCTGGTGAGTGGTGAACCCTCTTGACTCCACACCACAGACACTCTTTTTCCCCTACCTCTTTCCTTGGGATTAAATCACATTCCCCTCTTCTTCCTCTCCAACTTCCTAAAGAAAAGACCCAGTATCTTGAGCCTTACCTTGATCAGCAGACTCCCTCTAAAGTTCCTTCTGCCAGTTTCCCTGGCCCCTTCCTCCTCTGGATGTTCCTGCAGCTGATAGCCCTCTTTTTTCTCTTCCTGAGGCACTCACTGCCCTCAGCCTCTTGCAGAACTCCCAAACATACTCTAGGCAACCATATATTAGTTATCAGTTCATGCTCCTCTTTCACAAAGTACCCCATTTACTCAAGAAGACCTCAAAACAACCCTTAAGATGTCTGGGGCAGAGATGATTTTTCCTATTGATTTGTGAGGAGGCAAAGATGATAACCACCTAAGGATACCTTTTGTGAGTGTACGTTTACCCCTTGAATGCCTTAGAGGCAGCACAGCAAAGTAGTCAAGAATATGGGCTCTGGACAACTATAAGAGCATGATATTTGAGACAACTATTTGAACTTGAACCAAGGTTCAAATTCCAGCCTCATCATTTACTTGACCTCTCCTCAATGAACATCTATGCTCTTTCTGCAGAAAATCACAGATCCTGGCTGAGCAACTTCAGGGAGTACTTGGGGGATCTCATCAAGAGCTCCGTACCTCCAGCAGCCATTTTTGCTTTGCTTGTCATCACAGCACTGATGGGGACCCTCTGCTGCCTCACGTAAGCTGCTGTGTGGCATGAGGAGAGGGGAGGATAGAGGGAACCTGAGGGAGAGACAGGAACAATCAGGTTCCCTACCAGCCTGCACATCTGTAATTAAGGGAAAGTTTCTTTTTTTTTTGAGGAAGACTAGCCCTGAGCTAACATCTGCTGCCAATCTTTCTCTTTTTTTGCTGAGGAAGACTGGCCCTGAGCTAACATCCATGCCCGTCTTCCTCTACTTTATATATGGGACGCCTACTACAGCATGGTGTGCCAAGTGGTGCCATGTCCGCACTCGGGATCCAAACTGGTGAACCCCGGGCTGCTGAACCAGAATGTGTGCACTTAACCACTGAGCCACTGGGCCAGCCCATAAGGGAGAGTTTTAAGAAAGGTAATTCTGGGGACAAAACTCCAAAAGGCCATGCAAGTCCCTTTTAAAAAGTCTCCTCTACCAGGTGGACTGTGGGGTGCATTGGTGGGGAGGTGGGGGCCTCTGCAGTGGGGTGTTGGGGTAGGCTCTAGGGGGTTGGGAAGTGTGCACGGACCAGGACTGTGTTGACAGTGTGTGTGGTCCTGTGGGGGGTGAGGCTTATCAGTGGCAGAAGACCTGTGCTTCACAAATAGCTATAAAAAGGATCAGCCACAAGTTCCAAAGCCTGAAACAATTGAGTGCTCCCATGCCTAGGGCCAGCCCCATTCAGCTGCACTCCTAAGAGAACTGACAACAGCCTCATAGGCCTGAGGCCTATAGCAACTGTAAGCCCCTGAGCCTAGCAACCAGCTACACTGAGTACCTACCCAATTAACAGAAAAACTGCAACAGGAGTGTGCTGTTAGACTTTGTAGCCAATGGTGCTGAGGCTCCCCAAACCAGATTTACAAACAGCTGGCCAGGGAGGGAAAGACTAGACTCCCTGGGTACCTGCATTAAGAGCAACGCTGCCACAGCAGAAGGACACAAGTAGCCCACAAAGGGGTCACTCCTGGATCATTTGGACTGGTGACAAGAGGGAAGCACAATGCTGGGCCTCAAAAGGCATCTCTTACATAAGGCCACTTCTCTAAGATCAGGAGACAGAGCCCACTCACCTAATACAAAGAAATAAGCACAGAGAAAGAGGCATAATGAGGAGACAAAGGAATACATTCCAAGCAAGGGAACAGGACAAAACCCCAGAAAAAGGACTAAATAAAACAGAAATAAGCAACCTACCTGACAAACAGTTCAAACAAAAACTCATAAGGATGCTCACAGATATTGGGAGAAGACTGGATGAACACAGTGAGCTCATCAGCAAAGAACTGGAAAATATAAAAAAGAACCAGTCAGAAATGAAGAATACAATACTGGAAATGAAAAATTCACTAGAGGAACTCAGTAGCAGAGTAGATGATACAGAAGAATGGATCAGCGAGCTAGATGAAAGACTAGAGGAAATCACACAAGCTGAACAAAAAAAAGAATGAGAACAGTCTAAGGGAACTCTGGGACAATATCAAGCACACTAACATTCGTATTATAGTTGTCCCAGAAGGAGAAGAGAGAGACAAAGGAGCAGAAAATTTATTTGAAGAAATAATAGCTGAAAATTTTCCTAATCTAAGGAAGGAAACAGACATCCAAGTACAGGAAACACAGAGAGCTCCAAACAAGATAAGCCCAAAGAGGCCCACACCAAGACACATTATAATTAAAATCTCCAAAATTAAAGACAGAATCCTAAAAGCGTCAAGAGAAAGGCAACAAATGGCATACAAGGAAAGCCCATAAGGCTATCAGCGGATTTCTCAGCTGAAACCCTACAGGCAAGAAGAGAATGGCATGACATATTTAAAGCGCTAGAAGGAAAAAGCCTACAGCCAAGAATACTCTATCCATCAAGGTTGTCATTCAGGTTGGAAGGAGAGATAAAGAGCTTCCCAGACAAGCAAAAATTAAAGGAGTTTATCACCAAGAAACCAGTTCTACAAGAAACGCTCAAGGGACTTATTTAAGTGGGAAAACAATGACCACAAATAGGGATAAAAATAGGGATAAAAAAATTATCAAAAAAACAGGCAATAAAATCACTGGTAAAGGTAAAAATATAGTAAAGGTAGTAGATCAACCACCTGTGAAGATAATATGAAGTTTAAAAGACAAAAATACTAAAATTACCTATTGCAATGATAAGAGGGTAATGGATAGACACAAAATAAGAGATTAGATATGATTTCAAAAACATAAAATGTGGGAGGAGAGGAGTGAAAAAGTAGAGCCTTTAGAAAGAGGTCAAGCTAAAGAGTCTATCAACTCAATATAGACTGTTATATACATAGAATATTATGTAGGATCCTCATGGTAATCACAAATCAGAAACCTATAATAAACAAGCAAATAAGTAAGATAAAAGAAATCAAACATATTATTAAAGAAAGTCATCAAACCACAAGGGAAGAGAGCAAGAGAAAAAGAAAGGAACAGAGAAGAGCTAGTAAAACACCCAGAAAAAAAGGTAACAAAGTGGCAATAAATACATATTTATCAATAGCTACTTTAAATGTCAATGGACTAAATGCTCCAATCAAAAGGCATAGGGTGGCCAATTGGATAAAAAAACAAGACCCATATATATGCTGCATACAAGAGACAGACTTCAGACCTAAAGACGCTCACAAACTGAAATTGAAATGATGGAAAAAGATATTCCATGCAAATTGCAAAGAAAACAAAGTGGGGGTAGCAATACTTATATCAGACAAACTAGACTTTAAAACATAAACTGTAACAAGAGACAAAGAAGGGCACTACGTAATGATAAAGGGAACAATCCAACAGGAAGATATAACACTTGTAAATATCTATGTACCCAACATAGGAGCACCTAAATATATAAAGCAATTATTAACATACATAAAAGGAGAAATAGACAGTAACACAATAATAGTGGGGGACTTTAACACTCCACTTACACCAATGGATAGATCATCCAAACAGAAGATCAATAAGGAAACACTGGCCTTAAATGACACATTTTACCAGATGGACTTAGTGGATATATATAGAACATCCCATCCAAAAACCACAGAATACACATTCTTTTCAAATGCACATGGAACATTCTCCAAGATTGATCACATATTAGGCCACAAAACAAGTCTCAATAAACTTAATAAGATCAAAATAACACCATGCATCTTTTCTGACCACAAAGTTATGAAACTAGAAATCAACTACAGGAAGAAAATCAGAAAAGCCACAAAAATGTGGAGATTAAACAAAATGCTACTGAACAAAGATTGGGTCAATGAAGAAATCAAAGGAGAAATCAAAAAATTCCTGGAGACAAATGAAAATGAAAATATGATATGTCAAAATCTATGGGATACAGCAAAAGTGGTTCTAAGAGGGATGTTTATAGCAATTCAGGCCTACCACAACAAAGAAGAAAAATCTCAAATAAACGATCTAACAGCTCATCTAAAGGTACTGGAAAAAGAAGAACAAACAAAGCCCAAAATCAGCAGAAGGAAGGAAATAATAAAAATCAGAGCAGAAATCAATGAAATAGAAACTTAAAAAGCAATAGAAAAAAATTAATGAAACCAAGAGCTGGTTCTTTGAAAAGATAAACAAAATTGACAAACCTTTAGCTAGAGTCACCAAGAAAAAAGAGAGAAGGCTCAGATAAATAAGATCAGAAATGAAAGAGGAGAAATTACAATGGACACCTCAGAAATACAAAAGATGATAAGAGAATACTACAAAAAGCTATACACCAACAAATTGGATAATCTAGAAGAAATGGATAAATTCTTAGAAACACACAACCTTGCAAAACTGGACCAAGAAGAAGTAGAGAATTTGAATAGACCAATCACCAGTAAGGAGATCAAAACAGCAATCGAAACCTCCCCAAAAATAAAAGTCCATGACCAGACGACTTCCCTGGTGAATTCTACCAAACATTCAAAGAAGACATAATACTCATCCTTCTCAAACTCTTCCCAAAAATTGAAGAGGAGGGGAGGCTTCCTAACTCATTCTATGAAGCCAACATTATCATGATACCAAAACCAGACAAGGACAACACAACAAAAGATAATTACAGGCCAATATCACTGATGAACATCGATGCAAAAATCCTCAACAAAATACTAGCAAATCAAATACAACAATACATTAAAAAGATCATACACCATGATCAAGTGAGATTCATTCCAGGGATGCAGGGATGGTTCAACATCTGCAAAACGATCAACATGATACACCACATTAACAAAATGAAGAATAAAAATCACATGATCATCTCAGTAGATGCAGAGAAAGCGTTTAAGATACAGTATCCATTTATGATAAAAACTCTAAATAAAATGGGTATAGAAGGAAAAACCTCAAAATAATAAAGGCCATATATGACAAACCCACAGCTAACATCATACTCAATGGAAAAAAACTGAAAGCTATCCCTCTAAGAACAGGAACCAGACAAGGATGCCCACTATCACCACTCTTATTTAACATAGTATTGGAAGTCCTAGCCAGAGAAATCAGGCAAGAAAAAGAAATAAAAGGGATCCATATTGGAAAAGAAGAAGTGAAACTCTCACTCTTTGCAGAGGCGATGATTTTATATATAGAAAACTCTAAAGAATCTGCTAAGAAAAACTTTTAGAGGGGTTGGCCCCATGGCCGAGTAGTTAACTTCACGTGCTCCACTGCTGCTGGCCCAGTGTTTCGTTGGTTCGAATCCTGGGCGCGGACATGGCACTGCTCATCAAACCACGCTGAGGCAGCGTCCCACATGCCACAACTAGAAGGACCCACAACGAAGAATATACAACTATGTACCAGGGGGCTTTGAGGAGAAAAAGGAAAAAAAATAAAATCTTTAAAAAAAAACTTTTAGAAATAATAAATGAATACAGTCAAGTCACAGGATACAAAATAAACATACAAAAATCAGTTGCGTTTCTATACACTAACAAGAAAGTAGCAGAAAGAGAAATTAAGAATACAATCCCATTTACAATCACAACAAAAAGAATAAAAGACCTAGGAATAAACTTAACCAAAGAGGTGAAAGATCTGTACACTGAAAACTATAAAACATTGTTGAAAGAAATCAAAGAAGACACAAAGAAATGGAAAGCTATTCCGTGCTCTTGGATTGGAAGA